AATGGCCAGATCAACCTGGAAACTACGGTGTTTGTTCCATGCCAAGTTCTTTCTCTGCCACTTTGTTTGTTTGCCTCTTTTTCCAGTACTTGAGGGTGGCAGCTGACAAAGTCTGACTGATATCAACAGACTGATTCATTTCATCTGGTTGGAAATTTACTGCCTTTCCTGTGGTAGATGCCTTCTGATGGGTCTTAATGGGAAATGCGTGTCATCACACTTAATACTTGTGCCTATATTACCTTCTACGTGCTTCTATCAGAAATCTTTGTTCCCCAAGTCTTTTACCTTCTTGGCCTTGACATGAGTTTCTATATAAATACATATATAGATATGTATATGCACACACATATGTATGTATATGTGTGTGTATATATGTATGTGTATAAATATGTATGTGGTGTGTGTTTGTGTGGTCTTTTCTTTTTTCATGCATAATAGTTGATCAGTGCACTACCCAATCCACCCTTTGGGAAGATATTCTGTCCACTGACTTCCAAGGCTACCTTTGAGTGAGACAGTAATGCAGCTCTTATCCATTTTTGGCTTCTACCTTCCTATCAAGTCTTTCCATCCATAATCCAGACTTGGGCTTTTTCTTCCTTCCTTAGGTCATCTTACAGGACTTCCCATGGCTGTCTGTGTAAGCTCAGAGAGAGATGGTGGTGTAACCATGATGGATAACATGGTGCTCCCTGCTCATACAGCTTGTCCGTGTCCTGTGTTCCCAATAAAACTCTCTTTGAACTGCCTTTGGACCAGCTTGACTTCATTACTTAGTGGGTGAGACAGGACCCAGCTTATGATGGGGAGCTCTGCATGTCCATTTCCTGGGTGTTTCATTATTAAGTATTCCATCTCTACAAGAGCCGAGGAGCATGTCAAGAGCTTTTTTTGTTTTTCCCTCAACACATGATTTTCCACAGCAGAAGTCAAGGCTTTGTACCAGAAACCCAGATTCTGCTTTGTAATTCTCCCCCTGGGCTTGCCATAAACACATCTTTTTCCATCCCTGGCACCTCACACACCAGAGGGTTCGTGAGAACCTATTCTCCACGTGGCAGGGCTATTTATACTGCAACGCGAACCTGATGATGAAAACTTCCCTCCTTCAGGCTCCATTTACATTCAGCAGTTTCCATGACTCCCAATGTTTGATCTGGAACAGTATTGTTTGGTGTACAGTGTGTTGCCTCCAAAACTCAACAGAGGCCTAGCAGGTGTGTGCTTCACTCTGTAATGGTAGATATAGAAATAGAGGTAGAAAAGCTGCAGTGATTAGTCTTTTCTTTTTGCTCTTTTAACATACCACCTTATTGAGGTATGTTTGACATATAAGAAGTTGTACATATGTAATTTATACAATTTGAGTTTGTAGATAAGAATATACCCATGTAACCATCACCACAATGTGTGCCATAAGCCTATTCATCACCTCTAAAAGTTCCCCTGGCCTTCTTATTTATTACAATTATTATTGCTTTGTGATAACAATACTTAACATAAGATCTACACTTCTGGTTTATTTTAAAGTATATAATACAGTATGATTTACTATAGGCATTATGCTATACATTAGATCTCTACCTTACTCATCTTGTATAAGCAACACTTTGTATTCTTTGACTAATACCTCCCTGATTCCCCAGCCTTTGGCAACCACCATTTTACTCCTGCTTCCACGAGGTTGGCTATGTTAGATTCATCATATAAGTGATATCATGTATTTGTCTTTCTCTGTCTGACTTATTTCGCTAAGCATAATGTTCTCAAGGTTCATCTGTGTTGTTGCAAATGGCAAAATTTCCTTTTTACTTGAAAGTTGAATAATATTCCATTGTATGTACTTACCAACTTTTCTTTATCCATTCATCCATTAATGGGCACTCAGGTTGAGTCCACATCTTGGCTATTGTTATTTGTGTCTCTCTTTTAGATAAACGTCTATCCAATTCCTTTGCCCATTTTAAAAACTAGGCTATTTTATTTTATTTTTATTTCTGCAGTTGAGTTGTAGGGGAGTTCCTTATATATTTTGTCTATTAATCTTTTATCAGATGTAAAAGGTTTGCAAATATTTTCTCTCATTCTGTAGGTTGGTTTTTCATTTTGCTGATTGTTTTCGTTGCTGTGCAGAAGCTGTTTAGTTTGATGTAGCCTTACTTGTCTCTTTTTACTTTTGTTGCCTTTGACTTTCAAGAAATTATTGCTAAAGCCAATGTTGAGAAGCTTTCCCCCTCTGTTTTCTTCTAGAGGGTTTATGGTTTCAGGTCTTAGGATTAAGTGTTTAATCCATTTTGAGTTGACTTTTGTGTATGATGGAAGATAAGGTCAAATTTTCTTCCCTTGCATGTACTCTGTGTTTTTCTTTAGAGTGATTATCTCAGCATTCTCCTGACTACTGGACCCCTAAATACTTTATTGCAGTGAAAGGTCAATGAGACCTCAGGATGTAGTTGCCTTAACATAGCTTTTAGCATACTAGCTACCTCTTGCTCAGTTTGCTGGGTAAGCATAATGTCATCAATATAATGTATCAATAAATGTGATATTATGTGTGATTTTCGGGCAGTACAGGTACATTTGGAACAGACCATGAGACAAGTGGAAGAGTTAGCATAGCCCTGGGCCAAAAGTGTTGATGTATATTATTATCTATTCCATGTCAATTCCATGTGAACTGTTTTGAATCCTCTTTTCTAGTTGCAGTAGAAAGAATGCATACACCAAATCCATGGTTATGTATCATTTATTTGATTCCATAATAATCTGCTCCAGCAACAACATAACCTTTTGTGTGGTGGCAATGTTGGAGCTAATGATTGAGTTCATGTGGTATACTGTCATTTCATTCCCCAGCAATCATCCAGCTTTTGCAAGGATGAACTGGAATTAAATGAAGATATAAGGATTACCATTTCTGCATTATTTAGATGCTTAAGGGTATAACTAATCTCTGACATTTCCCCCAGGATGCAATATTGTTTTTAATTCATGTCTAAGGCAGGAGGGAGGGAGACAGTTGCAGAGACTTCTATGTGGTACTCCACTTTCTATAGCTCTTACTTCAAAGGCCAAGATCCCAATGTGAGGGTAACTCTAGCCCAACTAAATGGCTATAGGTCCATTTGAAGAAGGACTAGGGGAATCATTAGGGTATATACTTGCCCTGGTGTTGCCAGTATATGGGCAATCAGTTCTTGTTCTGAAAACTGGCTTAGGGATGGTATCTGGGCAAGAGATGGTGACTTTTTACTGGACTCACTTCCTCAGACTCCTCCTGTTCACTCATTCTTGCTTTCTTTTGATTGTATGTCTCAAGCAGTGACTTTGTTGGCTGCCTGACCCTCCCCTGACCCTTTATGCCACTAGGATGCTTTATTAAACATCTGCAAAACACTCTGAAATCAAGACTCTTGGCTACTGCCCTGACCTTGTATGCTGTTATAATGCAAACTCCTGGCTTCTGCCACCTAAACTCTATTGCTTCAGAAGCACTATTCCAGAATGGCCTCTCCCACCTACCACCATCTCTGGCCTGCAGAGGGGAGGGAGCCTTGTGCCTTCTTCCCAATGTGTTCCTGATAGCTTTGGTAAATGGTGTGTTCTCTGAGATTTCCAAGGAACACAATCATAATTTTGAACTTTATATAATAAACTCTTAACTCTTTTAAAGTATAATCCTTTTTTTAAGCTAGATTATTTAATTCTGGCTATATTATGCTGAGATTTAACTCTAGTTAATAGCCAGGAGAGGAAGTGGAAGCATCTTGAGAGATGGCCTTGTTAACTGCAGGACAGAGCCTCTGCAGCATCTCCCAGTACAGGGCCACAGGGAAGTGGTAGTTTTATTTTTAATTTTTAAAAACTCAAATTTTAGTATTATAAAAATATACAACATATCATAAAACATACCATTTTAACATTTTTAAGTGTACAATTCAGCAGCATTAAGTGTATTCACCATGTTGTACTATCACTACTATTTCCAAAACTTTTCCATCACCCCATATAGAAACTGTGTACCCATTAAGCAATCTTCTCAGTCCCTCATCCCCAAGCTTTTGGCAAAGTTTCTTTCTTTCTTTTTTTTTTTTTTTTTTTATGGAGTCTCGCTCTATTGCCCAGCCTGGAGTGCAGTGGCACAATCTAGGCTCACTGCAATCTCTGCCTTCCAGGTTAAAGTGATTCCCCTGCCTCAGCCTCCTGAGCGACTGGGATTACAGGTGCCCACCAAGCCTCACAAATTTTTGTGTTTTTGGTAGAGAAGGGATTTCGCCATGTTGGCCAGGCTGGTCTCTAACTCCTGACCTCAAGTGATCTACCTGCCTTGTCCTCCCAAAGTGCTGGGATTATAGGCGTGAACCACCACGCCTGACCAGCTCTTGGCAAATTCTAATGTACTTTATGTCTCTATTAATTTGATTATTCTGCATATATAAGTGGAATCACAAAATGTCCTTTCATGTCTGGCTTATTTCATTTAGCATAATGTTTAAAAGTTTCATCCATGTTGTAGCACAGGTCAAGACACCATTTTTTAAATGGTTGGATAACCTATTATATGCATATACCTTATTTTATTTATCCCTTCATCAGTTCATGGATTTTGGGGATGTTTTCACCTTTTGTTTATTGTGAATAATGCTCTAATGAACACTGAAGTACAATTATCTGTTTGAGTCTGTTTTCATTTTTTGGGGGTATATTATCTAGGAATGGAATTGCTGACTTTTATGGTAATTCTTTTTAACTTTTTGAGGAACTGCCAACCAAATCAGTGCTAGTTATTTTTTTCTTTCTTTCTTTCTTTTTTTTTTTTTTTTTTTTTGGAGTCTCGCTCTGTCACCAGGCTGGAGTGCAGTGGTGCCATCTCAGCTCACTGCAATCTCCGCCTCCCGTATTCAAGCGAATCCCCTGCCTCAGCCTCCTGAGTAGCTGGGACTACAGGCACGCACCACCACACCCCGCTAATTTTTTTTATTTTTCAGTAGAGACAGGGTTTCACCATGTTGGCCAGAATGGTCTCGATCTCTTGACCTCGTAATCTGCCTGCCTCGGCCTCCCAAAGTGTTGGGATTACAGGCCTGAGCCACTGTGCCCAGCCGCTAGTTCTTAAGAGGGAGGTATGAGACATATGTATAGACTATTGAAAGGAAAATCTCTTGGGCCCCCAAAATCACTAAGCTAAAAGGAAAATTCAAGCTGGAAACTGCTCAGAGCAAACCTGCCTCCCATTCTATTCAAAGTCATCCCTCTGCTCACTAAGATAAATGCATATTCTGATTGGCTCCTTTGGAAAAGCTAATTAGAAACTCAAAAGAATGAAACTATTTGTCTCTCACCTACCTGTGACCTGGAAGACCCCTCCCTGCTTCAAGTTCTCCCTGCCTTTCTGGACAAAACCAGTGTACTTCTTACTATATTGATTAATGTCTCATGTCTCCCTAAAGTGTATAAAACCAAGTTGTGCCCTCACCGCCTTGGGCACAGGTCGTCAGGACTTCCTGACGCTGTGTCATGGGCATGTGTCCTCAGCCGTGACAAAATAAACTTTCTAAATTAAATGAGATCTCTCTCAGATTTTCTGGGTTTACAACTATGAATGTTCAGGAGAGTTTGGAAGCCAGTATCTTCAAAGTCATCCACTTACCTGTGTTAAGGGGACATCTCCAGAGGGACAGAAACACTGGGATACATATGAAAGAAAACTGACTAGGGGAAATTGGCTCACACAATCACAAAGGTGAAGTTCCTGATGGGCAACCTGCAAGCTGGAGAACTAGAGAGGTGGGCGGCATAGTTCAAAGTCCAAAAGCCTGAGAACCAGGGAAGCTGATGCGGCAGCCCTTAGTCTGAGGCCGAAGGCCTGAAACGCCCTGGGAGTCCTCTGGTGCCAAAAGGCCAGCAAAATTGGAGTGTGATGTCCAAAAGCAGGAGGAGAAAAAGGCATCCTGCTCTGAGACAGAGAGGAAGCAAGAGGGAGCTGAGTATCTCCTGTCTTCTACCTGCTTTGTCCTGGTGGAGCCCCTAGCCCATGGGATGCCTCTGCCCCCTACTTTGAGGGCAGGACTTTCTCCCTCAGTTCACTGACTCACTCACTAATCTCATCTGGAAACAACCTTAAAGACACACCCAGAAATAGCCATTCCCCCTTCCAGTCACATCAACCCCTAACATTAACCATCACGCTTTCCCATGTGTCAGGATGCCACATTCCTCAACTAGGGCTCTAACCTTAGAATAACAACCTGGCCTTTTGTGAACTTCCACTTATATTTGAAAATCAGGCTATCATTTTACTTTTCCACTTGACTCACAGGAAACCCTGTCATTCTTGCTATGCCAGATACAGCTACTGGGCATAGAGCTGCTATACATTTTTTCCTTCTCTGTGTCCTAATATGTGAAGCTTCGCATGTCTATCTAGGTATAGAGCAGAATAAAAAGTTATCTGTTTAAATTAGATAAGCAAATGAAGATTGAATACCATTTGCTTCTACTCGCAATCATTGCTAGTCTTTACTAGGGCACTTAACTCTGAAGATTAGAGAGAACACAGTCTTTTCTGTCCCCTCAGGAAGGTACCTGGCTCCCATCATTAAAGAATCTCAGTATAATGTGGGATGCTTATTGCCTCTTTGTCCTCATCTCTGGTCTCTAGTCACCAGTTTTAGGGGAACAGAAATGCCAGTTTCCTCTAACAGTGAATGGGCAGGAGGGCTTAAGGATTCTGTGTTCTATGCTGCAAGTATACAGAAGTCTGCTCAGGTTGGTAATCACATGGTAGAGCCTCATTCTAAGTGAAGACTGCTTCCCTAGTAGTAGGGAAATAATACTTGCAAACGGTATGGTGTAGTGGCAGGAAGAGCCCACAGGCTGGTCATCAGGAAGTGTGGATGAGAATCCAACTCTGCCGCCTTCCTACTGCTTGACATTGGGAAAGTCACTTATCCTTTGTGAGCTACTTTCCTCATTTGTGAAATGAGTTGATTACATTCTCCCAATGTGTCATAAAAGGCTGTTTTTGAGAATTAAATAGGGTTGTGGCTGTGCAAGAATGGTAAAATAATAAAAGGTTTTCCTAAGGTAAGGTGATATTCTTGTGAATGTAGAGTGCTCTCAAGGTCATTTTTGAGAGGTTTGCTTCTGAGAGTGAAGGTTGGTTGAAACATTTTGCATGTAGGCTACCCTTTCCATCCACCCACCATCCACCCATCCATCCATCCATCCACCCATCCATTTGTTCACTCATTCATTTACTTACTCATTCGTTCAACAATAACTGAGCACTTATCAAGTGCTGAATGCTAGAGACACAAAGATCAATGAAAGAGGCCTTCATTCTTCAAAGAACTCACAATCTAGTGAGAGAAATAAACACACAAAAAATCATAATTCAGTGGAATCGAGGTTTCGATGGAAGTAGGTTGTAGAGTATTGGGAACCCATAGGACGGGCATCTAACTCCTGGGCAGGTCAGATGAGGTGAAGATCCCATCATATGTGAAGGCTGGGAGAGTGAACACCTTTTGAATTAGGCTGAACATCTTTTGAGAATTGTCCCATGATAAAAATTACCTCCCCGTTAGTGTTCTCAGATGCTGCCAGTTTTCCTGCCAGGCAACATCTGCTGTAGCACCTGTAAGCCTTATGCTAATGATTATTAATGACACTCTCTCCCTGCATTATGGTAGATTGCAGGGGAAGCCACAGCCAACAGTCCCTCCAAAGGGCTTGTGCGGTGGCTGCTGCTAAAGGAACCAATGTCTTACCTCTGGTTCTGCTGGGCAGCAGCCCACCCATCAGGGAGCACGCTTGCACGCAGGCCTTAGCTTTTCTTTAAATGCACCTTCTCTTCCTTGAATATCTCATTTGCATCTCAGGGGTTTTAGTTTTCTCAGAAAAGGGGCTTATTTTCACTCTTTGTGGTTTTTTTCATGTCATCAATTACCAAAGAAAAAAAACAATAGCAGCAACAGAAGCAACAAAAGCAGATTCCCATATGAACTTACTCATTCAACAAATTTGTGCAAGAGTGAGCACAAATGTTACTGATTCACTGACCAGACCAGTCCCTACTATGACCTCTTGTGTGTAAGAAAAACAAGGACTTTCCTATATTTGACATAACATATGGGCATAAGAACCCTTTTCTGGAGTCAGGGAGAACTGAGCTTGAATCCAAGATTCAATATTTTCTAACTATATAACCTTGTAGAAGTTGCTTCTTTCCTCAAGTCTTGGTTTCCTTCTACAGACCTACTTCTATAGGGTATTTAGGAGGATTAAATGAGCTCATGCATGTAAAACACTTATCACAGTGCTTGCACATTGTAGCAGTGCCGTACATGAAAATATTACTACTATTACTGTTATCACTTTTGTCCTGATCCGCCATAGCCTGTTCCCTTCCTTTGGGGTTAGGATTAATTTAAATGGAAAATTCCAAAGCACAGAAGGGTTCATGGAGAAATTGTCCCCTCTGCACTATTTGTCAGTAGTTGGAGAAGGTTAAACTCTTCATCCTGTAAGGCAAACACTGTTACCGTTTATAGATCTGAAGTGCTCACTAGACAAATACTATGAGAATGTTTATATATGTTATCCTCTTAAATAGCTCTTTGAGGGGTGGTGTAGGATTGCTGACTCATAAGTAAAGGATTATGTCTCTTTGCCCTAGTTAGTATCATAAGCTAACTCTATCTGTTTTGTGGTTTCATCAACCCTGCCTAAGTGTTGTATGGTCCATCCTTCCTCCCCAGTGTTCACAGGACAGTCCTAAAACTGTGTATTGAGATGTAGTCACTAGAAAAAGACACTGAACAATTGGTGTTGAGGAACTGGGCAATGTTCTAAATGGAAAACACTCCCTTCCTTCCTCCTTGTAAAGCAGTTATAAACAATTGGGCCTTACTTTAAATACTTGGTCTGAATTATTAAATTCTTAATACATCTGGATTATTTACATACACTATTTCCTTTCTTAAGAGAGACTTTACTTTGGGCAGTGCCATTATTTTCTTTCTATTTATATTAGTCCATTTGTGTGACTATAAAGGAATACCTGAGGCTGGGTAATTTATGAGGAAAATATGTTTATCTGGCTCATGGTTCTGCAGGCTGTATGAGAAGCATGGTACCAACATCTGCTTCTGGTGAGGGTCTCAGGCTGCTTCCACTCATGGTGGAAAGCACAGGAGAGGTACTGTGTGCAGAGATCATACAGTGAGAGAGGAAGTAAGAGGAGGAGGAGGAGGAGAATGTGCCAGGCTCTTTTTAACAATCGGCTCTTGTGGGAACTAAGAGTGAGAAACCACTTACTCCTTTTAAGAATGGCACCAAGCCATTCTTGAGTCATCTGCCCCCATGGTCCAAACACCTCCCACCAAGCCCCACCTCCAATATTAAGAATCAAATTTCAACATGAGACATGGGTTGGGGGGGCAAATGAATCATATCCAAACCATAGCACTATTCCTTATATCTTCTCCCTTTACTCTTGCTGCTGTCATTATTGTGACTCAACACAAGCATCAATACTAGCTACATAGGAGTGGTAGCTGGTATTTAAGTAGTGTGTCCAGTGTGCCAGGCAGTATTCTAAGTGTGTAGTTAATCATCACAGCATCACAACATTGGCATTTTGCAGAAGAGAGATTGAGGCACTGAGAGGTTAGGTAAGTATCCCTCAGTCACACAGCTAGCAAGTAGTGAAGCCACATTTTAAACCTCAGCAGCCCATCTCTAGATTTGTCAGTCTTGACCACTATGCACAATTGTCTTTTATCCATAGTGTTTGAGCAGTTTATATATACAATTTTATTTCATTCTCACAGCCAGCTTGTGATGTATGTATCAATATTTTTTCATTTAATAAATGAGGAAACAGTGTTTCAGAAAGTTTTAGTTCTTCAGAGTTGCACAGCTAGTAGTCATCCAGCTGGAACTTGGAACTAAGATTTCTAACCACAAATAATCTCTCCATGTAGCACTTTTCTTCAAATAGAGAATGAATATCAGAACTGCTAACTTCAAGAGCATTTGATTCTTGGGCCCATTCTCCATCTTATTGCAGTTTTGTCCTGGTGAAAAAACTACGTACAGGCATTGAAAATGCTTTCCAACAACCCTGTTCTCCAAGGTCTGATTTTTCTTTTTTCTTTTTTTCCCCTTCACACAGTGAGAAAAGTTAATTGAAATTCATGCTGTGGTCTTATGAACTATGAGTCAGAAGAAAGAAACACTTAATCACTTAATGCAATGATTGTCTTTTCCAGTAAGAAAAGGGAATAGGATGGGGGTGGGGGTGCAGAGAAGAGATGAATGTGCAAGATTTTTTATGGGAAACCCTTTGAAAACATGACTCCTTGATCTTTGTAGTTTTTGTGAAGTCATCCTGTGTAACTCAATATGCTCTTTTCTTATGCTTTGTTTAATAAAGAGGAAGCTAACTGACTGAAGTTCTGCATCTACTTTGGTGTCAGAAAACACAGTCAGGTGTGTCTGTGGACCATAATTCATTGGTCAGAGCAAGGTCTTCTTATGAGTCTATCTAACTGGGATG